CAGTCCTAGAGGGGACTGCAGTTCCTACAGACTGAGAACCACAGTCTGATGGATGCTCTTCCTTGGCCTCCAGAGCTTTTATTATCCTGACTCTACAAATGTCCACTAGTGGGAAAAAACAGATGTATTTGTCCAGAGAAAGCTACTGATATTGGATAGAGATGTGACTGAAAATTTGTTCATTAAGAAAATCAGCTATATCCTTATATTCAATTTACTAACATGTATGTGTTTCTTAGCTTGTTTTGTTTGCTATGAACAATTGTAAAATTGTAAACCAGTGTGCAGTTCATTTGGGACCAGGTTACCTCAATGATGCAGAAAAGGAAGGGAGATACTGTTTTTTTGTTGTTGTTGTTAAAATTAAGCACTTAGTGCAAATCTGGTACTTTTGTGCTACCTTTACTGTTGAGGACTACAAACACATAGTGGGTAAGAATCCTTGAATAGTATAATTCAGATCATCTTTGAAAGCTTACCTCATTATTGAAAAATTTGTCCTTAGTTATACGTTGGTTTTCTAAAAAGATTTAAAAAGTACAATTCAAGCCAAATTAATTATGTGATTATAAAAACAAATAATATAGTAGAATTATAGTGATCATTAATTTTTTACTCAAAGACTTAGGTGTTGCTGCTCTGTAAATGCAGGTTATAATTTAGATCAACAATGTTCACTGTAGGAAAAAATCTAGGGGACAAACAGAATTATTTCATCTTACATTTTATACATACTACTTGTTGGTGGTTCGTTGTATAATCTTATCTGAAAATTGACTTTAGAGTCAGCAATAAAGTAACAAAATTAATAATTAGCTTGACTTGCTCATTAAACCATCAAAATAGTTTAATATAAGAAGACAAGTTATTTTTGTTAATGTTAAAACTTTATATAGGTAACTGAGTAAAATTTTCCAAATTCTTCTACTTTAACCATCTTCAGATTCTTAGAAGAAAAGTAATTTATCCAGTTACTCATTTGTTCCTTATTCTCTTATGTATTTTCCCTCTAAAATATGTACTGAAGGACTAAATTATTAATATGTGCTTATGTACTTTTAGATAGTAGTAGACATTAAGTATGTGTTCTAAATTCTTTAACTATATTGACACTTTTAATTCTCTTCTCAGCCCTATAGATAGATACCATAGTTATCATCATCATTTGTAGATATGGACATGGAATCAGAGAAAATGAGATCATTTGTCCTCCACCACTAGATGGGCACAGTTAGGCTGTTAACCAAGGCAGATGGATTCAGGCAGTGCAACTATTACCTGAAGTCTCCTGTCTTGAGTATGTCTGTATTGCTTCTATTAAGATAAAGGAAGAGTCCTAAACAAACTATATACCGACAGCAGTTAACAAACATTTCAATCTTGGGTGACATGTTTGTATAGTGCAGAATGTGCATTACTACTTTACACTCCTTGAAAGCCAGAAATACAAAGGCCATTCTCCATCAGGCTGTCATTGAAAAGTCATGCTATTAGCATAGATTTCAGAGGTCAGCAATTCATTTGTGTTAAGGTATTGATACCTGGTCACATTCAAGTTTCTTTGACATATTTATTTTTCTTTTTAATTATTTCCAAATAACCCTTAAAAAATTTTTAAATCTTTCTTAAATCTCAGGCTGCACCAAAACAAACCATTTGCTGGTTTGACCCATGAGCTATGTTTTGCCTATTCCTGAGAGACTAATCCAGTCATATGGATTGAGGCTCTCCCCTTTGCCTGAGCAAATACCTCTTTTTATATGTCTTGAGGAAATTTGACAACTTCATGAACATTGGAAATAGGATAGAATGGTGAATTCCTTTGTCTATGGGGCTTTGAGGTAAAAAAAAAAAAAGTTTTAGAATGAGGTGTGTGGGGCCTTAAGCCCTCTTCTGGGGTTTTCTTTCCATGCTAATTTAAACTATCACTTAAAATTTGGGGTTCTATACATGCTTTCAACTGCATTTGGGAAAACTCCTGCACAGAGATTTTTTTTCTCATTTATAGTTTCCTCTTGTTGTGGTTATGTGTCCCTATAAGGTTATCTATATATCCATATGTATATACACATTTTCTTCTTTTTTCTAGAATGTTCTAGAGCATCTGTGCTCTCATTAATGAACCTTGTAAACAGGTTTCTTGAGCAATGAAGTAGAAAATGTATTTTAGTAGTTTAAAATGATATATCAGCATTTATTTCTGAGCATTTCAGTTAAAGATAATTGCTTGGGGACTGGGAAAAGCAGTAAATCTAGTGTCAATGATGATCTGGATAAGAGGGCTATTTATATTAAGCAGATACTTTGATAATGGAAAAATTTTATCAAAAATTTTCTTTTTAACAAAATAAGAAATTTTGCTTGTCTCTCTCCTGAAGTTCCTTACAAAAACAAAATTGCCAGTTATTAAAAATATTTCTTTTTAGGTAGAAAGTTTGCTGATTTACCAGCTCGATGGCACTTACTCATTGATTCTTTCTCAGTGATTATGTATTTCTGGCGCACACAGTCTACCTAAAGAAAATTCATGTTATTTTGTACCTTAAAATGAGAAACTGATATATTGTGTTACGCTTTATGTTTTCTTTTCAGAAAGTATCATTATGTCACATCTTCTTTTAAAGGAGCATTTAGAAATGAAGTTAAAAAGGCAGAAGAAGCAGTAAAAATTGGTATGTAATTGCCTATGGTCTACATCAGTACTGCTTATTCATTTAGGAAACACTAATTTAGCACTTATCATGAGGTATATACAGCTCTCAGCATTGTACGAATGGATATAAACAAACAAAGGTACTTTCTACCTTTAAGAAGCTTCCAGTTCCATCCATTTTGCTGCAAATGGCTGGAAGTTTCTTAGGGGGACAGGATCGAATCTGGGGTGGGAAGAGCACATAGGACAGACAATAGTGATGGCATGTGGGTGAACTGCTGGCGAGAAGTCCATGGGGATTACAACCAAGATGAAAAAATATACAAAATGAGGAATGATTTAAAAAATATATATATATAAAGAATCTTCTTGACATGTTCTTCCATCTCTGACTTTAACTATGATGTTAGTTATTATTATATATAAATATATACTCCAGAACACTTGGAACTAGATTGATCTATGCTAAATATCATGGCTGTTATGACTGACTTGGAATGTTTTTAGGAACTAGTCTTATATCTACTTTAAGAAGGATTGTTCCCCCAAGCATAAGGACAAAATCAGCCTTTCCTAGTGTTCCAGGCCTGAGAACTAACTCTGTGCCCATATTTCCTAAGTTTGCAGAGTTTTTGGCCAGCTAAATTTTCACTCATTATTCCAGAAACTGTATGTATACATAGGTGCCCTATAAATTGTCATGGCCACTAATGGCCACCTACGCTTGGAATGCAGGTCTAGGAACTATGAAGGGATTACAGGATTTGCTGCGATTATTGCCTGTAAGTCACTTGCACTGGTAATGTCTTTATATACATGGAATGAATGCTCACTTTAAATTGCTTGAAAGAATCTCATGTATTACAATTATCTTGCTCCTATTTCTAGCTGAATTTGTATTGAAAGAAACACAAATCAAAGTAAACCACCCTGACAGAACTTCTTTATCTTCTTCTCCCAAGGTATGACATATAGAAGAGTATTCTTAAATAGCAAATAGTCTCATTTGTTTCTTCCTATATATGTTTCTTCCTATATATCACTTACTTCCTTTTAGAAACAGACATGCTCAGAAAGTTAAGTTGATTTTAATGCAGGTAAATTGGATTAGTGGAGAGAATGGAGAGAAAACTCAGTAAGTGGGACAAAGCTCAGATCGAGAACAAAAATAAAATAGAACATGGGGTGAAATTGAAACAGTGGGGAAGTGCATCACAATTCATTTCTTTAAAATGGTAAGTATTATGAGAAAAGGAGAAAATAATGAAAACCTAGCAGACTAAACTAGCCTATCAAGTCTCCTTGAAAATATCTTTTCAAATTATAGTTCCCTATGGACTCAAATAAATGGGGAGAACACTAGTTAATAATCCTTCTTTCTAGTGCTAGAAATTATGTATTATAATTATAAATATTAATAACAATGCTTCCAGCTTACAAAGCTCTTTTCTTTGGAGTAGCTCCACATAGTTCATACACTTTCTTTGTAATCCTTGTTCTATGCCCATAACTAAGATAGGTCATAAAGAACTATTATTATTAATTATAATGCATGTCTACTAAGGAAAAAAAGAATATTGTTATGTTATGTACATGCATTAATAGTTTCCTGACTTTTTCCAAAAATATGATACAAAGCTTTCTACCATGGTGAATGCTTCAACAACATTTATTTGCTACATGAAAAAGAGTAAGTAGGTATATGGAGAGAAAATATTTCATGACACAGCTCCTTCATCCTTTTCTGTAGATTTAATATATGAATCATATCTATGATTTGCCATTGAATGTGCAAAGGCCAATGCTTTTTTTTTTTTTGGTAAAGAACTTTTATATCAGTCAGTCATGAATAGGGGATGAAGCCAAAGAGTAGCATATGGTTTTGCCTCTGAGATGTCATGTCTTTCCTAAAATTCTTTCACATTTTCTTTCCTTTTTTTTAAAGTTAAAGTAGGGCTATCTTATTGTTAATGATTACAGGTACTTTTTATATTTTGTTTCTAATGTATCTATTTCCTTAGCTTTATGTATTTGAGAGACAAGAGAAGACTTTTCTAATGGGTTAGGACCTGCTTTCTTCTTCACTCCACCACTGGCTCCCACTGCCTTCTTGCTCTGTGTAGATTGCTTGGAAGGGTGAGGAAGTGTGTGACCAGTGGGTCCTGTTGCTCCAGTGCCTGCGAGTTTCTTTAAGGCAGGGCAGAGAGCAAACAGAATGACCTCAGCTTCTACTCTTAAATTCCTCTAGGCAGTTCAGGGATTGAATTTGAAGTGAAATTACAGCTATTCATCATTTTCTTTTGCTTTAAAATCCATGATTGGTGTACCCATCAAATAAGATTCCCATCTTATACATTCAGTGGATGGAATGCTTTAAAATTTAGAAATAATTTTTTGGGGGGTCTAGTTAGTGTGATCACACTAGGAATAGAGGGATGGGGTAGAGAATGAACCAATGTATTAAA